TACATACATACATACATACATACATACATACATATATATATATATATATATATACATACATACATACACACACACATACATACATACATATATAAGGAAAGTGTAATTTTGGTTGACTTTCCAATTTTGCCCCTGATGTGATGGGAAAAAGTAAGATGTATGTGATAGTTTTGTTATTAGTGTAAAAGTTTGATGTGATAGGTAAGGTATGAAAAAGTAGGGGCAAAATTGGTTTTTTAATAGAAAGTAAAAATGTTTTGTGAAAAAACAAAAAAAAAACGAAAGGGGAAGGGTTTTGTGGAATGGAGGGAGTATATATTAGAGTCACAAACAATCTGGACACAAATTTTACAAACTTATCATATGTGCACTTTTGAAGGTGAATAAAATAATTAAGTAATGAAACAATAAAAATTTTAATACACAAATGGCAAGTTTGTATAGTTTGTATCCAAATTGTTTCTTACTCTAGCATTACTCTAACACCAGTTACTATCAAATTATATTAATGATGCTGGATTTCAACAAAAGAATCAATGATATTGGAGGAAAAATTTATAAATTACGTATGAATGTGAACTAGAAAAGGAGATATGAACACATTTTGTGAAACTATGATATTTAAAATTAAACAAAACACGTTACATATTTTTAAAAGTACAATATACCCTATAATTTAAGCTAATCTCAATCAATTGAAAAACAAATTTCATGTGATTAAATATTATTTTATAAACTGCAATTGTATTGTAAATACACTACCTCCATCCCCGACAAGCATTTATACATTTTAACTTTTTTGTTCAACTTTCTAAACAATTTCGCCATCAATAAATACGTAGTATATATAGTTAGTGTGATTTTATAAAAATAAATGTTACTCCATATAAAAGTTTAATATATCAAGCTACATTGTCTTAAATTAAACACAATTAAATTTTATTTTACAGTTAATTAAACATATTTTTTTACAATTTATAGTCAAAGTTTGTGAACAAATAAATAAATTGAGTTTACTGTTAGAGATAGAAGAAGGAAACATGATTGAAGAAGGAAAGTGTTAGAGACAGAAGAAGTAAGCGGGATTGAAGAAGGAAACTGAATCCCTTTGGGATTAGGTTTAATATCTTTTCTAGTTGGATTAGGTTTAGTATTTAGTATCTTTCCTAGTTTGTTTAATTCTTATTTTAGTAGGAATAGAAATTTCCTTGTTTACTTTACCCTCTTCCTATATAAAGAGGGTTAGATATTTGTATTCAAAACAAGTTTCACAAGCCAATTCAAGATACAGAGAATTTCCTCCAAAATAATTCTTTCATGGTATCAGAGCCAGTTTTGAATTCTTGAGACCTCAAACATGCTTCTTCCCCTGCCGGTGGGCATACACAATTCAATGCCTACTGGCGGGATATTGTAATTTTTTTATTGTCCTCCCTCATTCTTGAAGAAGTGGTCAGACAAGGGTTGTTCTACGGAGACAAACAACTCTTTACGCATCTACTGTTCACGATCGACCGGCATCGCGTCCATCGATCGTCGCCTGTTGTTGCTGCCAAAGTGCCGGAACAGTCGAGTGGGTCGACCGTCCCAACGGCAGTTTCTCTTGATCGCGGTTACTGTTCACGATTGCCCGACATTGCGTCCATGCATCGATGCTCAGTTTCAGTGGTTTGAAACAGTTCCCAATTTGTACGTGTAGGAATTGCACGTGGGACCTGCCAGAGAAGCTTGCGCAGACGCGCGAACTGAGGGAACGTTTCTTGCAGGTTTGGAGCAGTTCCCAATTTGTACGTGTAGGAATTGCACGTGGAACCTGCCGGAGAAGCTTGCGCAGATGCGCAAACCGAGGGAACGTTTTCTTGCAGATTTGGAGCAGTTTCTAGTTTGTACGTGTAGGAATTGCACGTGCAATCTGCCGGAGAAGCTTGCAAATTAAATTACTATTTTTTTAATGTCCAAGCTGGGCATGTTGAACACCTATGCTCCAGCTTGAGGGGGGGGGGGTGTTAGAGATAGAAGAAGGAAACAAGATTGAAGAAGGAAAGTGTTAGAGACAGAAGAAGGAAGCGGGATTGAAGAAGGAGACCGAATCCCTTTGGGATTAGGTTTAATATCTTTCTTAGTTGGATTAGGTTTAGTATTTAGTATCTTTCCTAGCTAGTTTGTTTAATTCTTATTTTAGTAGGAATAGAAATTTCCTTGTTTACTTTACCATCTTCTTATATAAAGATGGTTATATCTTTGTATTCAAAACAAGTTTCACAAACCAATTCAAGATACAGAGAATTTTCTCCCAAATAATTCTTTCATAAACACTTACTAAATTATTTAAATTTAACATTTATTATATTCTATGTTAACTCTATAAAGGTCATTAAAATTTGGTTGAGGGATTTAAGGAATGTTTATATTTTATTAATTATGAATTTAGTTTATTTTAATGTTTTATTGGCATTCATGATGATGACGATGATGAACATACTTTTTAGTTAGACCAAAGGTGTTTCTGACATGCCTTTGTCAAAATCCAACTAATCTCGACTGACATGATTTACGGACGAAGACCGAAAGTCTCCTACCAGATTGTGGGGTTTGATTCCTTAGGAAGCCTCAAGGTCACCACAACTTTGCGCTGCCAATTGTGCAACCACTCGTTGGTTAATAATAAACATATCATCATCAACAACAACAATAACAACAAGAACAACGATAATATGTAACACCCTAATTCAATCAGGTCTGCAGCCCTTTCGGACTAAAGTATAAACTTGGTAATCGTAAAATTCAAAACATTTCAAACATCTTTATTTATCATAAATAATATTCAATGCATAACTTCTTAAAATACAGAGTGTTTAATAATGCAGAAGCAAATTTAAACCATGTCTCATAACAACACAAATATTTATTTTATCCATAAATCTACCACGTTTGTCTCGTCCCATCCACTGCAAGAAATAAGCCATTCATTCGTTCTGTCTATCTGCGTGTAGCAAATAAAACATACTACACGCTCCGCGGTGAAGCTGAATAGACTTATCTAATGCATCGAACATCCATATAAATTGAATTTCAATTCATAATCTAATCATTTGATATCATGCACATAATGTTCGTCATATAACATCAACATTCAAAATATCAATAATGCTCATAAACTATTTTTAGCCTAGGGCTAATTTAATATTTACCAACTCTTAAACTAATTCTAGTTTAAGCTAAGGTACTTCTAACCAACTCTTAAGCTAGGTCATAGTTTAAGGTACATATTTTCAAAAATGTTTTCCAACTATTAAACTAGCCTTCGTTTAAGGTACAATCCAAAAAGACCAAACAACGGAATGCTCAATATCGAGTTGGGTGGTATCCCCAAAAGAGTGATCCTCAAATTTGGTTTATGGACCCCGTACGTACATTTTTACCCAAGGCCACCGAATTTACATATATTTATACCCGCAAGGCCCATTCTAATCTGAGGTCTATCTTAGAGGTCTTAGCTTCTAGATAGCCTTAACAATACATTTCATTTTTCATCAATCCATTGACTAGTAATTTCATAAAGTAATATAGTTTTATCATCTCTAATTTTGTAGAACTTTTCATTTAATTTATTACTATTATATATATTTTAATATTTTACCCCTATAATCAAAGAAATTGAATTGAATATAAAGTTGGTCAAACATCATAACGCGTAATGGAAAGATCTTAGGTGGACGGATCGGAGGGAGCATTTTGGTTTTCTTCATTTTCTTTTCTATTATTTTTTTCTTTAATTTTAATTTTCATTCAAATAAAAGAAACATCATAAAACTAATTTTTTAAAAAGATAAAAAAAGAAACCAGAAAGCAACAGAAAATATGAAATGAGTTTCACTGAAAATAAAGAGAAAATGTTTCAATGATTTATGTATCATGAAAATGAACCAATAAGGATCTCTTATGGACAAAAATCAATAATATTAATTTGAGACAAATGAAGTGTAGGTTAATTATTATTATTTAATTGTTTTTTATTTCAAATACAAATTTTTTTTATTATTTAAACATTATAAAAAATAGTTTTAAAAAACATTTATGAAAAACGAGAAGAAATAAGAAAAGCCCGGCTTGTGGCCAGTTTTGTTTAGACTCGATTTTTTTAATAATACGATCAAACCCTTTATAGAGGATTGCTACCATAGTGTTTCCCCTTTCGTTTTGTTGATATGTTATTTTATCACACGTCTTGATTCAGTTGGGCGTCACTCTCTTTCTTTCTCCATTGGGTGCCACCACCGGTCATCACCACCATTTCCGTCGTCCTCCACGGTCTACCAATGCCATAATGTTATCATCTGAACCTCTGGCCTCACTCCCACCAACTATTACTCTACAACTTTCACAATCTTATTCTAGACAAATTTACAAATACAAATAAAAAAGTGTATTGCTTGGTCCCTTAATGTTTGTATCGCTACCTCTTACTTGAAGCTAATGTCTTCTTTGGATAGATTGATTGTTGGGGAAAACGAAGATAACACGGATCAATTTGAGAATCGGGTAACACTTTTAGATTGATTATTTTAGTTGTCCAATCCAAAACTCAATCGATCAAACTCAAATTTGACAAAAGAAGGTATGGATTGATGCGAATTTTGAGCTATTTTCTCGACCAAAGATTTGCGGGATTTATAGAGCCGCAGAAGCAAAGAAAAGATGCGGTCGCGCCTCCCATCTAAAATGCGCGTCCCCTCGCGTGAACTTTAAGAGAAACGGAAGCTATCTTTTCCACAAAATTTCCTTTAAGGAAAATTCAAAAATTAAAAATTGAAATGAATTTTTAACATAGAACTTTGTCCAAAATAACATAGCATCTCGAACCCAGCCAGAGACTCTGCCCCCTGGACCCCGCAGGGGTTGCCGCCACTTGAATCCCGCTCGAGGGCATTGCCCCGAACCTCCGCCAAGGGGGCGCGGTCCCTTGAGACCCGCGTTAAAACGAAACTCTTATCATAACAAATTCAACAAAGCATGCACTCTGCACCATCAAACTTCTTTGATGATTATTATGATACCATTGGTCAAATAATTTTACTAATTACACAATAATATACTCCCTCCGTTCCACAAAATCCTTCCCCTTTCGTTTTTTTCCAATTCCTTAAAACACTTCCACTTTCTATTAAAAACCATTTTTACCCTTACTTTTTTTACACCATACCTATCACATCATACTTTTTCACTCATAACCAATCTATCACATCTTACTTTTACCCATCACATCAAGGGCAAAATTGGAAAGTCAACAAAAATTATGTTGGTGATTTTAGTGTCATCCGTTTATTTTGTGTAATTGGATTTACTTAGATCAGACAAGAATTTAACTATACGTTGTAATTAAAACGAGTTAGGAGGCGTGGAGTGCGCGCTGGTTCAACGATATTACAAATTCACTGCGGGGGTCCGGGGGCGGCTGCCTCCGGGTAGCGGGGTGTAAGGGGCGGCAGCCCCTGGCCGTTCGCGTACTGATAGAATTTAGGATGGGGTAAGGATAACTAGATTGGGCAATAAGACACTTGGGCTGAACCACATTAAAAGATTGAATCCAATCTATTAGTTAGTTCAACTCTAGAGCTTATATACCGGTTTATTTCCTCTTCAAGTTCCGATGTGGGATACTCTTTAACACTCCCCCTCAAGTGGATAACCGGGCCATTTTGAATCTAACCGGTTGACCACTTGCAAATGAACTCCCATTCCCTTGAATATTTTTTTTGAGCGCCAACACTTAAAGGACCACGAGCCGCTGGGTATGGACTTCCAGACGAGCAATCGTGTTAAACGGGCCACAGACCGTTGGGTACATACTCCATACAGACAACTGGGCTAAAGACAAATGGGCCGCTAGGAATGAACGTCTAGACGGACACCTTGACAAACGAGGTGGGCCAAAACCTGCTCTGATACCATGATAGAATTAAGAATTGGGTAGAGACAACTAGATTGAGCAATAAGACACTTGGGCTGAACCACATTAAAAGATTGAATCCAATCTATTAGTTAGTTCAACTCTAGAGCTTATATACCGATTATTTTACTCTTAGATTTCCGATGTGGGATGTACTCTTAACACTCCCCCTCAAGTGGACAACCGGGCCATTTTGAATCTAACCGGTTGACCACTTGCAAATGAACTCCCATTCCCTTGACTTTTTTTTTGAGCGCCAACACCGAAAGGACCACGAGCCGCTGGGTATGGACTTCCAGACGAGCAATCGTGTTAAACAGGCCACAGGCCGTTGGGTACATACTCCACACGGACAACTGGGCTAAAGACAAACGGGCCGCTAGGAATGAACGTCTAGACGGATACTTTGACAAACGAGGTGGGCTAAAACTGGCTCCGATACCATGATAGAATTTAGGATGGGGTAGGGATAACTGGATTGGGCTATAAGACACTTGGGCTAAACCACATTAAAAGATTGAATCCAATCGATTAGTTAGTTAAACTCTAGAGCTTATATACCAGTTTATTTCCTCTTCAAGTTCCGATGTGGGATACTCTTTAACACGTACGTTGTCTCTTTATGAAAATCCTTAAGATTTTCGTGATCGGAGTCCAAAACAGTAAAGGACTCGAACTAGTGGATAAACGTCGAAATAAACTCTAAAACCGCATGACACTCTTCGTTCAAACCCATCTTCCTTATCGCGCGCTTCTTCCTATCCGCGCGAACGTACGCGTCTACACGAACGTTCATGTCCGGTCATGAATTTTTGACTCTATAAAATAGAGTCTCGTGGTATGAATTTAGGGACGGATTTCGAGTGCTTGTTCTTGATTAACGTCTTATCCGATTGAAGTATTTTGTATATTCCGAAATAACTTTGATCTGAAAACGTTTATACACGATTCGTTATACTATCGAGTTTTTCATCAACACTGCTCCGCAGTGTTCTTTATACTAAAAATCCAACAAATTATACATTCGTTACTTTGGCTTAAAGTCAAAATGAGAAGGGTTTAGAGAAAGAGAGGTAGTATAACATTGATGGCACGGTAGAAGCACCGCCATAAACGATCACAAAAGGAGTAACATCTTCTAACCTTGCTAATACCTTGCGGACTTTGCGGTCTGTGATTGACACTCATATTTGAGCTTCTCCTCTCGCTTTTTCTAAACTCTAAAATACAATTCACATACATTTTTTGTTCTTGCCACAAAAAAAACATTGCACTTTTCTCAGATTTTCTATTAAAGGACGATAGATTAAGATATGCGTCTTAGAATCCATCTACCTCTCCACTCTAAATATACTTTAACAACACATTTTTCATTTTCCAATATTTTTACTTTCATATGAAATCAATACAATCAATGGAACTTAATTAATACTCCCTTGTTCCATCCCTGAAAACATGCGAGATTTTGATTTTTAAGAAATTTAAGTTGAGTGTAATTTCGTGTTGAATTTCAAAAAATATCATTAGACGATGTGATGGGTAAAAGTAGGATTTGATATATAGATGAATAATAAATCATATGATATGATTGTTAAATTAAAAATTAGTATGGATAAAAGTGAGGAATGAAGTAAGAAAAGGTTTTTTTGGGAGGAAGGAAAAAAGGAAAAATATTTTTAGAGAGAGAGAGAAAAATATTATATTGGAGGTAGGAAGGGAGTATTATATTTATATTTATATTTATGTTTATATTTATATTTATAAATGAGAGCTTGAGAAGAAAGACTAATAAAGCACAAGTTGGATGTGAAATATCAAATTTTTTAATGAAAAGAAAAAGTTCCTAAAGTGGATTGTAAACCATACTCTCTCATTGTATTGTGCGCTTTTTGGCTTCTACCATTCTCTTTTTGTCCTCTCATCGGAACTCGAAACTTCACATTTACCTCACCACCACCTCCTCCTTCCCCTCCTCCCTACTACTACTACTTATACATCACCTCCTCCTCCTTCTCCTCCTCTCTTCCCCCTCCCTTTTCCTCATTTTTCCATTTCTCCATTCTCTCTCTCTCTCTATTATTATTATTATCTTTGCAACAAATTAAACTTCAATTTTCTGTCCCAAGTTGCAAAGCAAGTCTGATCTTTATTTATATAAAGCTTAATTAGCTTGAATAATGGCTCCTGTCTCGTTGCCACCCGGCTTCCGGTTCCATCCAACGGATGAGGAGCTCGTCGCCTACTACTTGAAACGGAAGATCAACGGGCGTAAGATCGACCTCGAGATCATTCCCGAGGTTGATCTTTACAAATGTGAACCCTGGGATTTACCAGGTATATAACTTACGTTTTCAACATTTTTTTTAGTTCATGTTACATCTTGTACGTAATAGCTAGGGTCATAGGGGGGGGGGGTATTAAATAATATTTAAACACTGATTTTGTTAATACGAATGAAAAAAAGAATGAATGATAGTAAATTTTGGAAGCGCTAATAAATAATTAAAATGATTAAAATATACTCGATCTTATATTGGGAAAAAGACCTATTGCCAAAGCTATTGTTAATTAATTCGAAGTGGCTTTCAAGAAAGGTATACAGTGAGAAATACGCACTCTTTTGTGACTTTTGTATCTTACCTAATTTCCTTAATTAATTTCATCATTATTCATTTTAATATACAGCTGTACGTAAGTCAAGCAGATTCTTCGATAAAGAAGAATTTCGCAAAACGGAATTCATTATTTCAACAATCATTATTTCAACAATCATTCATAATAGTAATAAATATAATAATGCACTCCGTATAAAAAAAAGAACCCAATATTGCCATTATACGTTATCACTATTTTCCTTTTATCAAATTATTTGTGTCCAATACTCTCTTTGTTCTAACAAAAAAAAGTCACATTTCAGATAAAGAAGTATTTTAATTTTTAGGTCTAGCTAGTAATTAATTCATATTCTCTTCCTTCTTAATTTAAGTTTCACTTTTTTTGAGGCGTTTCAAAACAAAAAATTTACGTTTAATGGTGGGATATATGTTGCGTAGGTGTGATTTTTCCCCTCTTTACATAATTCTCTATCGCATATTTTTATGATTTTATAAACTCTTTGAAAATCTAAGTAGGAACTTAATATAGAGACAAATAAACTAACTATTTTAAAACCCTATTTTAAATGTATCTTAAACCCAACAAATGACGTTTATAGAGATATAATTAAGTTCTTATGCCTTTTAAGATGTGTACTATACCTTAATTATATTATCAAAGCTTTAAAAAAAATTATAAGCTGAGTGGTTCTATCATTAACCTTAATTCGATTCACAAATCATAAGTGTTATGTGAGCTTTCTCACAATAAAATGAAAAGGTTTTATTAGAACGTTCAAATTGATTTCATTTATGTTTGAAACTAAGTCCATGTTATCTTAGGGTGCACTTCAATTTAAGAAATACACAGGTGTTGAGGGTTTTGGACCTTGTTTTGCTATCTTATTATAATCCTTCATTTTGACATGGAGAGAACATAAAAATTTAAAAAATGAAATCTCTGTATAGGTTTAGGTAAAAGATAAAGAAATAACAAACAATCATGTATTTCATTCATTAAATTGAAATGTGATACTATAACGTATCCCTTCCGTTGTATTTGCCTAGTTTTTCTTTTTCGTCATTTTCTTGTCTACTAATCCATTTTCTTCTAAGGTAATGTTATTATTTACATGCTTCTCTGACATTTTTATCTTATTTTATTTTCAGCATTTTTAACAATTTTATCGAGCTCGCATTCTCAACTAGAATGTATTAGAAAAACGAATAAAGTATATCTTCTCATTCATTCTCATTGACACATAATAATTCTAGGACAAAGCGAATACTTTTTTGTAATTGTTATTAAAGATACGAATTATAGAGAATAAATCACTATTACAAAATATAATCCATATACAAGAGAAACTCTACTATTTATCAATAAAATTAAATTATATTCAATTTAATTTTTCTCATGTGTACGTAAATATTAAACCAAAAAATCTAGCTTGAAGGGATGAAATCTATCCTTAATCTTTTTCATCTTGCCCATTATTTGAATGAGGAAATCTATCCTTATTTTACCTTTATTAAACCATTTACATACAATAAAGGTAAAATAAAAGCACCAAATGTTTGATGGAGTAGTAGATAGTTAATTAGTTTAGGAGCATAAATTAAATATGGAGTAGTATTTCCGTAAATAGAAGCGCGTGGTGAATTAGACATTCTGATTGTGGAAATCACCCAAAACTTTAATGCACTTTATTCAGTCAAAAATCATATACGGAAGTCGCCCGCCGAAAAATACATACAACAAAAAAAATAAAGGGGAAAAGAAAAAGTAAAGAAAGAATGGAACTTGATTTATGTGTTATGTCTAATTATAAGTTAACAGTAAAGGAAGTTTGTATTATATACGGTCCCTACAATCTTTTAATCTCTTATTTAAAGCTTAAAAAAGATGTGTACTTAAGGGAGATACTTTGAGTCAAAAAGCAACAAGAAAGACATCATTATGTTGTCAGCTTCCAAATGACCAGATACTTATACGTATAATGAAGGCTTTCGTATCCTACAATAAAATTATCATTAAGCTAAGAATAAATCTATTTACACATCAAAATGGCATTCTCTATTTACACACCTGGCAAACACAAACACTTAGTATCTGTGATCACAGATATTAAGTATTTGTGTTTGCTTGTTTTCAAATGAGGTACCCCATTTTGTTGTACCCCTAACATGACTTTGATACTATTTGTACTCCAAAATTTTTACTTTAATTATACACTACAAGTGTGTATTTTTCATTTTGTTTCAGTGTGATATTAGGGTGATAGTTCATACAAGTACAAAATATTAGTGCAAAAATATTTAATCGCACGATCATGTGTCACTGTGAACTATCAAAATATTACTCCCTCCGTCCGGATTTTAAGTTTCCGGTTTGACTTTTGCTCATTTTTAGTGGAAGTTGACTAATGGATTACATTGCCCAAAATACCCCTGCCCCCACACCAAAATATCTCTGCAACCCTCAACATCACAACCACCCCAATCCCTATCCCCATCACTGCCCAACCG